TGGGATTCTTTGTTATTTCCAATCATGCAAATTGTAGCTTTAACACATCTAGAGGCATTAGCTCAGACTAAACTGGACTAGGTCTTGGTGTAATTCTGTTAGTCAGTTCAATGCCAGGTTAGAATTCCTGATCCTCATAACTTTGATCTCTTTCTCAGGGTCATACTAGCCTGCATTCTTCCAGTCCTTGAGTTGGCAGAAAAGTACATTGACGTAACTATGCTGCCTGAACAGCTTTGTTAACAAGTCTGGCACACAACAGTGCCCTTGCAGTTTTGATGTGGGACAAGTTAAGGAAAGTGATTGGTGGATTATCCAGGTGTTTTCTTTTTCTTTCCCAACATCACCTAAATATGGGAAAAGCGGTCACTAATTACTCTCCCTGCTGTGTGGTGATGTGGGGTTGAGTGAATAAATGGGATGGAGGGTTTATCACTTTTCAAGTTGCTCAAGTGACAGGTCACTGGGCCAAAAGTGCTCTGCATTGGTACCTGTCAGTTGGGTTATTTCTAAACAAGGGTCTAGTGGTGTCCTGGAAGAATGCTAGATATGTTTGTTTAAACACATATTGCCACTCTTCTGGAATAGAACTATATCTTTGTCCAAAAAACAATTGGTTGAAATTTAGCAGAAGGATTCTACAGAACATTGGAATAACTTTCTTCCACTTCAATCCATGCCCTTGGCTGCAACCATCACCTATCACTTGGCTAAAAGGGAGAACAAGCACACCTCTTGTCAATTTACCCCACATCCCATATATTCCAAACCATTAAGGGCTACAAGGAATGACAGTATCAGCAATGAGCAGCCAAGGGCTGCAGCACCTGGAAGTACAGGTAATCCTCACTTAATGATGGTAATTAGGACCAGCAACTCAGTCACAGATGTAAAGCATGATGTCACATGACCATGCTGACTTACAATGGTAGTTGCGGCAGTTTCAGTTGTTATTGTTAGGAGAATCTGTGTGGTCCCAGCATCCCACGGTCATGTGATTGTCATTTGCAATCTCCTTTCAGCTTCCCTATTGACTTTCCTGGTCACATGACTGTGGGATGCTGCAGCATCACAATTGGAAGTCAGTTGCCAAATGGCCAAATTGTGATCATGTGACTGTGGGGAAGCTGCGATGGCTGCAACTATGAGGAATGGTTGTAAGTCCCCTCATTCAGTGCCATTGTAACTTTGAATGGTTGCTGAATGAAAACTACCTGTACGCAAAATGGCAATGGAGTTGGCAAAAATGGCATCCCCCAAACTAATAAAACCAGCAGAAAGCATGGCCATGTGAAGCTTATTTTTTGTAGAAGCAGCAGAAAAATCAGCTGGTAGAAACAGCATCTCTTAAAGACAGGTCTAGCACTCTTCTTAAAGACTGTTGAACGAAGGTTTTAAGAAAACAGTTCCCATGTTCTTGCAGAACTGCACTTCTATTTTATTAAGGAACCCATACAACATATACCAAACACTTTGAAATTGGGATCAGGCATAACGTTGAAGCTAGATGTCTGGTCTCTCCTTCAGCCCAAGCTAAAATGGCCACTGAATGCAATATCAAGCTACTAGAGAAAAATGCCCACAGTAGCTGGGCAAATCCCAGACCATAACTGACAACATTGTTAGTGAGTTATTGCAGATCATTCATACCACAAGAGTTGTATCAAAGGAAAAGGGAAAACACAACTTTAATATCAGAACAACTATAACTGTTTCTGCCTCTGGTGATGAGATAAAAGTGACATGCCCTTTAAAAATGGCTAGTGAAGTATTTTAATTCTGTGGTCAACAAGATGCAAGGATGAGTTTTTTAGATGTGTCAATGGGTCACCCCCTCCTCCATCCTGTTGTGCTGCCTCATCATGGTGTGGAATATTCCTGGGAGGGGTAAGCAAAGAAGTCTGGGAGTATTTGCCAAGAATATATATATTTCCAGCAGGGCCATCAAAGGCGTGAGGTCATCCCAGCTGCCCTGCTAAAGCAAGTAGGCACCTATATTAGGCAACAACAATATAGGAAGATGCTGGAGGTGGATGATCACTTTAATGACAATGGCAAAGGCATCAATTCACACCACACAGGAAAAAGCAATGGTAAACCATTCCTCTATTTTTAGCAAGAAAACCACATTGATAGAAAATATAAAATGATTGATTATATAGTGCTGGATGATGGGCCCCTCAGGTCAGATGACACTCAACATATTACTGAGGAAGAGGTGAGTACTAATGGTGTTTATGACGTGGCTAAATTAAAGCCTTCAGGATGTCTATTTTCTGAAGTTGCCATACAGGAAAAGAAAATATGAAGCTGCAAAGACAGAATTACTAGGAACATGGAATGTAAGACACACGAACACAGGAAAATTCAACACATTGAAACACGAAATGAAAGAACTACAAATTAATATCTAAGGCATCAGTGAATTGAGATGGACTGGGATTGGACACTTTCAGTCAGAAGATTACACTGTTTACTGCTCAGGATATGAAAAACAAAGAAGGAACAGCATTGTTTTTGTAGTTAGGAAGGGTATAGCAAGAAAAATATTTGGCTACAATGCAATCAATGATTGAATAATATCAGACTTCATGGACAACATGAATTTCATATGCTAGCAAAATAATGCTTAGGATCATCCAATGCAGATTAGAGTCTACATGGAAAAAGAGATGCCAGATGTTCAAGCTGGCTTTAGAAAAGCTGGAGGAACACAAGACATTATAATTAAGAAAGCTAAAAAATACCAAGAAGTCACTATATGCTTCATTGATTATAGAAAGGCCTTAGATCGTGTCAATCACATCAAACCGTGGAATGTGTTTAGAAAAACAGAAATTGCAGAACAACTCATTGTCCTCATGCAAAACCTATACACAGATTGGGAAGCCACAGTATGGACAGAACATGGTGAAACAGACTGACTCCAAGTTGTCAAAGGAGAAAAGGCTGCACACTCTTCCCTTATATATTCAACCCATATGGTGAATATATATTAAGGGAAGCTGTATTGGAAGAAAATAAGTATGGGTTTAAAACTGAAGGAAGAAACATCAATAACCTGCACTATGTTGATGACACTACTGTATTCTGATAGCCAAAAATGCAAAGGATCTGCAAACTCTAGTAATAAAAGTCAAGGAATAGAGTGAAACAATGGGATGAAAATTAAACATAAAGAAGATCAAACTATTGATAACAGGTACAACAACCAGCCTTAGAACTATCAATGAAGATATGGAAGTGATTGATGGCTTCTATTTTTTAGGATCAACCATCAGCAGTAAATGAACAAGCAGTCAAGAAATACACTGCAGACTAGCACTGGGTAGAGTAGCCATGAAGGCCTTGGAAAAGATATTCAGATGTCTGACATGTCTATACCTACAAAAATCAGAATAGTACAGACAATGGTATTCCCTGTGACACTCTATGGAAGCAAAAGTTGAACTTTGAAAAAGCAGGATAGAAAGAATATTGATGCTTTTGAAATTTGATCTTGAAGAAAACTCCTGAGAATACCGTGGACAGCCAAGAAAACAAACAAATGGATCATTGAACAAATCAACCCAGAGTTCTCACTCAAAGCACAAATGACCAGGCTCAAATTATCCTACTTTTGGTTAAAGTTTTGCAAGATATGGCTTGGAATATCCTAGAATTGTACCATATAGGGCTTTAAATTTTGAAGCAGTTTGAACTGGGCCCAGAAGCCCAATGGCAATCAGTCAGTAATTTCAAAATAGGTGTTATCCTAGCTTGTCAGGGTTGTCCTGTCAGAAGTCTAGCCAACTGTAGCTTTTGGATCATCTCCAAAGGTAGCTCCACAATCAACTGGTGGTAAAGAGATGGATTACCATCACCAAGACACCAATAAAAATCGCACCAGCCAGATTTGGGCAAAGGTTGCCTGATTTCCACCTGCTGTTTAAGCAGGAACCAAGAATCTAGACAAATTCCCAAACTGCAAACCAGCTTCTTAGAGTTTTCTTTATCTCTCTGCTAACAATGAGTGGTTACCTAGATTTTTGTAGCCCAGATATGGAGGCTCTCTTCAGAGGAATCAAACTTGCAAGATGTACTCCTATTCCTTCAACCAACATTTTGTAACTATTTTCTCTTACAGTGCCTTAACTTTCCACTGGCCTAGTTATCAGATTTTGAGTCTGTTGTTCTTTTTTTAAAAAAACAACAACCCAACAAGCCAAAAGTCTGCTGTCCGCCTCTGCTTTGAGATATTTAACACGAGGAAAGAGATTGTGACTTCTCCCACCCACACGCTCTTCGCGGCCAAAGAGGAAGTGCAGATAGACTTCACACACACACACACCTAAACGTCAAACCGAGCTAGTCTCTGACCCCTCCACGGGACACCTTGCAACACAGAAACCCAAACAAAGTGCGCTGGGGCGTGCACTGTTGTTTGACAGAACTCGGAGAATAATACTAGTGAGTGTGTGCAAAGTTCGTCTGCTCAGCTCCCTTGAGGTTCGCGGAGGGGTACCGCCACCTTTCCTGTCTGTTTCCTTCCACCCTCGCCGTAGCCCGGCTGCAACAGCCGCAGCTCCAAAGAGAGGAGGCGAGGCGCTTCGAGACGGGTGGCTTTCCTGCCAAAACACCGGTGGGAGCTTGACAGGAAAGCAGCTGGAAAGACTCCAGCGCTGATTTGACGCTCCGGAGACCGCACCACAATGCACAGCCCAAGTTTGACCCAGCAAAGTACCTGCGTCCTGTGTGCTCGCTCGCTCGCTCGCCCGCCTGAGCGCGACCGGAGCCCCGTTCCCCAAAGATGGTGGCGACCCCTCAGTTCTGCTCTCGCCGTCCCAGCTGACTCGGCCGAAGACTCGGCTCGCTTGGGCCGAAGTGAATCGACGGCCGAAAGGAGCCGCTCGCTCCGGTCGTCATCGATTCGCTCGGAGCTCTACTCGCAGCTCTGGCCCTGCCGCCTCCGCCCCCTCTGTCTTCTCGCGCTCCTGCGCGCACGCGTTCCTCCGCTGCTTACCTCTCCCGTGGAGAGCAATAATAGGGAGTTTGGACGGGAAGAGGCGTGACGGGGAAGAGCGTGGCTGGTAGGAGGGAAGGTGCTGTCTTTTGGAGGAATCCTTGAATTTTCCAAATTAGGAATGACGGCCGTGGGGGAAAATTAGAGCTACTATCTCTAGGCTGCAAAAATCCGGATAATCACTAGGTGGCGGCATAGAAACTCAGGAAGGTCTATTCCTTTGCTGCTGCTAGAGTAGGCCAGATATAGTAGTCCTGCACTGAATAACGTGAGGTTGCGATCCGTTACGGACTTCATTGGGAGTCCCTCCGTTGGAACCGATTGGTTCATCAGATCAGCAAGCTTACATGGGATCTGGGCTGGGTTCACACAAGGCACTATGCTACAATGTGATTGGCTGCTTAGTGTGTTTCGCAGACAGTCATTGGAAGGGATCTGTATTCACAGCAATTATGAAGTTTAAAGGAGCTTTTAGGAAGGCCGCACAAAGCTTCAGAAGGCTGATTTGCTTCAGTAATATCTTAAGTGAACACTCCTTTGAATCTGTTTCACAGTGCCCCTTGCTATGCTAAAGAATAAAGCACAGCTGCCAGGTTGCTTCGTCTTGTGTCAGATACATTGCTGAAGTCAAGGTATGCTATGTCCACCACATTCCCATCACCAACTAAACTAGTTATGCTGGCCCAAAAAGGAGATCCGTTGGTTTGCCAAGATTTATGTCTTGGATAGCCCCACACTGATTCCTGCTAGCCAGTGCATTGTTTCCAAGTGATCACAAACATTGCTTAAGCACTTGTTGACTTCTATTGTCTTCCACTATTATCCTTTTTGAAATTGTTTGTAATTGAGCTTTCAGTATCTTCTTTAGGAACTCTGGCTATATTTGAAACTTTTCCCCATTATGTTTCTCCTGAATAGAATCCCACACTGCATTGTTCTGGGTTTATCAAAATCTATTTTTCAAGGTATGCATTTGAGTACACTCATCTTTAGTTTCCTTTAAAATCAAGTAATCCAGCATTAAATGGTCACTCAACCTCAAACTTCTTACCATGTCCATCACTTACTAAGGCTTACCTGGTTGTGATAAAGTCAGAAAGCTGATCCTCCTGTGCCAACTTCTCTGTGAAGGAGAAAGTTGTCAGCAAGGCAAGTAAGTCCTGGAAGAACCATGCTTGACAAAGTTTGGCTTCCACAAGTTGTTGAAGAAATAAGACTTAGCCTATATATTATTCATAATGATTTTAAAAGTCTGCCTAAGTTTTCCTGTTATATGCAATGAAATAAGACACAATTTGCTGCCACTGATGCACCTCCACTGTAAAAATACAGCTTACATAGCTATTGCCTATGTATTTCATTTGAAAGAAAAAAAAAACCCTATTCTTGCAAAAACTACCAGAAAATTTTAATGCTGCTAGTGGGTTGTACTCACTCTCAAGCAGTAAAAATGATCAGTCATGGAATTCAATTACAATGAAATGAAGTGTTAGAAAAATACACACCATACTGCTTATAAACCTGTGAGGCAACAAGAAATTCAGTCTGTTTCATTTATCATCACTAGTGCTGTCAATTGCTGTCAACTATGCATGAAAAGAGTAACTTTTATGCATGACAATAATTTTGCATAATTTCAAAAGCATCTTGGATATAGCTCCTCTTGAGAAGACTAATAAGTTAATAAACATGACTCATTTTGAAAAAGCAAACCAATTAATATATATGTTATAGTAATAGAATCAAATATGTTAGTCCTAAATGTTTTGGAAATATGCCTTTAACTCCAAGCCCTACCAATGAAAATTAATCATTGTCAGATTCATTTATTTATGTTATTATTTATTTGGTTTATCCTGCCTTTATTTACTGATTGATTGATTAAATTCAAGACAGTTTACATGTCTAATGCTCCCACCACCTATTTTCCCCACAACAACCACCTTTTGAGGTGGATTGGGCTGAGAGAGAGTAACTGGCCGAAAGTCACCCAGCTTTGTATGCCTGAGAAGTTGACATTCTAGGACATTTTATAAAATATGCATTGTAGCCTAGATTGGCAGAAGAATATAGTAGCAGAGAAGAGGGAGGGAGAGGATGGTACCCGGAATGTCAGGGTGATCAGTTGGGCTGGTGAATACACTGAGTAAGAATGTTGGCAGCTGTGATAGCTGTGGGAAGGGAAAGTGGTTGGAAGATTGGGGTGGGGGGTGGGATATGCAATGCCTATAACTACTCAGTGGAGAAGGGGAGAAAGGGTGAGACATATGCCAGTTGTGTCCTACTAGCCCCATAAAATCCCTCTGAGATTCTTCCAGATTCTGTTTTGTCTGAAGCCCAGAACACCAAAGCATTCTGAGTTTTGTTCTGGGTTTGAAACAAAGTGTATTTTCTGTTTGTGTATACTCCAAGTTTTTGGGTTAATCTTAATCTTCTGTTAAGATATTTTAAAAATAAAAGCAAACATCTTCTTGAATAAAAGAAGATTGTAAAACAAAAACAGTAATTTTGACAAGTTGAATTTACCTGCACTTGTGCACTTGAAAATATCAGTCTGAATATGTTTTTGAGGAGTGTTGAAAGCAATGGAGAAGATGCTGACTGAATGCAAATTGAATTAGGTTTAGAGATACAGTTTTTAAACCACACTACTAGGGATTTCTGTTCTTTTTCAAAGGCTAAAGTGAGTCATTGCAAAGTTGCAAATGTGAGAAGCCAAGTCTCAGTAGCCAGTTCAGCAGCAAAACAAGGCAGAGCCATGACTCACCATCCCATGATTCTGTTCACTAGTAGCTTGTGTTTTCCCAACTTCTGACAGCTGACACACTTTGTTCCCAGTTGAAATTGGAGACAGATGTCATCCTTACATCCAAAAGATTGTGAAAAAAATACAATTAGATGGAGCTCAAAGCTAAATTGGGTAATACCTTTATTATTGCATAATTTTTTCTAGGCTAGAGGTCACATTCCGCCTTTGAATGGTGTGCCACTCCCAAAAGTGGGTAGGACAGGACTAAAACTGATTTAATTTAATTTAATTTAATTTAATTTTCATTACAATATAGTTCATCAAAGTTAATATAGTCAATACCAATCATGCACTTAATGACTTTCCTCATCTCTTTCATTACAATCTGGTGAGAATTTCTGGAAGGCCTCTTGGGGCATAAGCAGGTAAAATTATGCATGGAGTGGATGGTGAGAAAACTTTCTTGTGTGCTCATCATATTTGAACCCAGGATCATCCAGTGAAGCCAGTAGTGGATCATCTCAAAATACAAAAATGTCATTTGAATGTTGTGTTTTAAAATGTTGGTTTTTACTGTTATATTTAATGGGTGTTACTTTTTTAAAGAAGGAAGATGTTTTAAATATTATTTAAACAAAATGTAAGCATACAGGTCAGATGAAAGGAAGTACTGCACTGTGAACAGAGGGGAGGGGGCAAATGGCCACACTTGTATTGCAACATCATCATACCATTGGCATATTTATGTATTTGTGTCACATGTCATGACACAATTATATTATTGGATCATTTGTGTGAGGAAGTCACAACATACATTATTATTTTGACATCATTGTGATTTGTTGCTGATGCCTGTGTGGCCTGAAACAGTTTGCAGCCCTTGGCCTTCTAAAAAAATGTGAGGTGCTGCTCTTGGGTGCCAAAAAATTGCCCACCATTACCGCTGTTTTCACAAACCAGAGTAGATGGATTTACATAATGCTCTAACCCAAACCTATTATGATCTAACATACTGTATGTGCCAGGCCAGAAGTCAGATGAAGTAACCAACATTTGCTTTTTTCTGATTTGCCAGATGTTGATTTTGGAGGAGCTCTCAGTCATCCCCAACAGCAGGAAATTATTTTTCTCACCATAATTTGACATCCCTGCAAACAGTGGTGATACTCATGCTATAGTGCCAAATTTTCATCTACTCCAGAATGAGATATTAAAATGTGATTATGGTGTCTGAAAGAAATGGCTTAGTGGGATAATAACCCTAAGTGATGGCTTTAGAAGAAACACCCTTTGAAGTATAATAAGATTTAGACTCTCTTTTGGGGTTGTGTTGACCTCTATTCTGCACCACACGTTATGATACCCAACTTTGTCTCAGAGGGTAATCTCACACCGGATTTGCATTAAAATATATTCCTCCTATTTTGAGATATATAAGGATGACTGCAGTTTCAGAAGTGTAGTACAAACCATGACACTATGTTCCTGAAATTAAAAAAAGTTATCACTTTTTTATGCATTTATATTAGAAAAACTTCCATTGGAATGCAAAGAACAAACTGAAAGAAAAGAAATTGCCAAGATTCTTAAAAGTCATATTATTTAGGAAGCATTTGTGAGCCTACTGCAGGTCTTAGTGTATTTTTTGTTTATTTTTATTTTTTCCTAAGTGTTCACCAAAACACAATTCTTATCTTTTCATGTACGCTTTTAACTCTTTCACCATAAGTGGAATGATGTAAGGCATTTGTAATAAAAGAAATAAACTTTTTTTTTTTAATTTCAAAAAGATGAGATTAAGGATAGATTTTTTCCCCCTCACCCATCAAGGGCAACAATTTAGTTAATTGTTAGTTTAGCTATTCTTAATTTAGTTAAAAATTAAGAATAGATAAACTGCAGCTTGTTTTTACTGGTATCCTTTGAAAAATCAAGCTGTAGTTACTGCTTAATATTTCAGAACAGTACTCTAGAGATAGAGGATAGAGTACTTTGTTTAGCTTTGAGTTATCCTAGAGAAAGTTAGTTCTTATCATGAATCTTTTCTGAGCATTGTGTGAACCTGCCTGCTCGTAGTCTATTGACACACTTTGGAGTTCTGTGCAGCGTGACCTGAAGCAACCAGTCCTTATGCATGTTTACTCAACGAGTAAGCTGTGGTGACTGCACCCTATGAATGAATCTCTCTGATCCCAGAGGGTCTTCTGAGAAATCATGCTGTGTCATGCCATAAAGTTGCAATTATGTACACACGTACTTAGAACAATGAGACTTACTTCTGAGCAGATATGTAGGATTGCACTGGAAATAGAGCTCTCTGATCTGGGCTGCACATATAGGGATGGCCACTAGATGGAAGCAAAGAAGTACAGAAAACCTGACCTCTTTGTTGCCACAGTATGGTCATCCTGAGTTTGGCTACCCAGATTTGGTAGCCTATTGTCGATCACCGTAAGAAACAGTGAACAGCCATCTACAGACAATGATCAATCTAGCCTGTTATTTTTCACTCTTGACTTTTTATTTGGATCACTGTATTATCTCAAGTAGCAGCTAAGTAAAAGGTATAGATTACAGGTTCCAGGTACACAACTCAGACAGCCAGAAGGACACTGGTTACTTTTCTGACATTGGCCTTTATTACTTTACTAGTTAGCTAAATAATATTTCTGACACTGACTATTTTCACAGATTCCATAAATACACGAACATTTCAGATGTGTTTTCCAGAGTTTTGTACAGTTTTTATTTTTAAGCATTCTTTCCTGGGGTTGGGGCAAAAATGCTTTGAGAGCAACTTACAAAAGTCAACCCTATCTGCAACCTTGCAATTTAAAAGACAGGATTCAGGAAAAAAGGGGGAGGGGAGGGAAAGGGGGGGAAGTAAACTTAGATAATCAGCTTTCAGAATTAAATTGTAGTTTTTCACGTGACAGTCAGATACAATGGCACATGAGAAAGAGCCTGCGGTACTGCCTTTTCAGCCGGGCTGCTGGGATGGTGCTTGCTTTTCATCCTCAGTTGCTCTCCTGTGTAGAATCTCACTTATCCCTCAAGTGCCCAGATAATGGAATTACCAGATGGGGAAACTGTAGAATCAATGTCTGGAGTCACATCTTATGCTAAGTGACAATGTGGCCTCTTTGTTTTTCGTTTAGCACTGCTCCTTAGCTTTGTCTTATGCCTGAACTAAATCATAATGGCTTATTTTTAAATTTAAGGCTTACAGTACCTGGATCCAGCTGTTGACACTCATTGGGAGCCAGAAAGATTTGCCAGGCTGAACGCCGCCTGCAAATTTAAAATTATTTGCTTCTTGAGCAGTCCCTGGATTATTGGAGGAAGACACCAGGCAAAGTTCCCAAGAATCTGGAGAAGGTAAAGCGTACGCATAGATATATAATTTGGATAAAAAAAGAACTATCTATCATTTCGGATCAATCTGCTAATTAGCAATGAGACCGGAACAGCAAATCAACCAAACTGGATTGACCTGATGAATCAAGAAACCTGCAAACCAGGTCCACCCTCTTTCTCCTCCAATCTTTCTCCTTAAACAGGGCTGTTGTCCATCAGTGGCCTGACACCTGAAGAATGTTTTACACCTCTAGCTGAGAACCTTCATTGTTTCTCTGGCTTCTTCACCCTTGCCTTGCCAGCTTTTAATGAATAGTATGGCTGCTGTAATTATTTCCTCCTGCTCTTCATTTCCCTGAAGAAAATCTAGCACAACAGGAAGTGAATAACAGCACTAGAGGACAGTTTACACACGGTGCTTTAGTTGAGCCATTTCCCCCTTGGCTTTCATATTTTAAGCCTGCCTTTAATATTTTATACAGTATATTGTATGCACGTGGCTGATTACATAAATCTCTGTAATCACCAGGATTAGTTTAGCTAGTGATTAACTTCCTTTTCATATTTCACTGTTTCATTTTGTACTTAAGATAATGTGCTTCTGTATTTACTATTATCATTGTCTATATGTTAATATATTCTGGATGAGGCTGACTAAACCTGTATAGGATGTCAGTGTCACTGGCTGGTCTAACCTAGGCCTTGTCGAATAATAGCAGTCTTCCATGACTATCATTTTCTACAAGCAGGCTCTGTCATCAGAACCCCATTCCCTGTTAAGTTTCCTTATTTACATTGGCTTGATATTTTTCCTTTCCTGTTTTCATTAGGTTTTTTTTTTTTAGCCAGTTCTAAAAACTTGGTTAAGAGAGCAATTCTATCTTCAAAGCCACTGAGTCTACCTGCAAAGCCCATTCAGTCTGCTGCAAACCCTAAATAATTTGTAATGATGTACATCTTTCCTATACTTCAGTTGCAATATTAATATTTAAAACAGCATCTTCATCCAATTTTGGACACATTTCTCCCTCCCTGAGCCACTGCCTATATACAGTTGAGGTGGTCTGATCTTCATTGGGTCCCCCAACCTTCAAGAAAAGTTTTTAGGAGATATAGGGGAGGGGAGAAGAGGTGAGAAGAACCCCTTCGACTGATATGCATGCAAAGCTAATTTTACGATTCACTTCAACTATTTATAGACCACAACATGATCATGATTCTATTGGAAGAAGGAAGTACAGTCCATCTTCTCTTAGACTTTCTTTTCATTGGAATGATAAAAATAGATTTACAGTGGGGCAAAAAAGTATTTAGTCAGCCACCAATTGTGAAAGTTCTCCCACTTAAAAAGATGAGAGAGGCCTGTAATTTTCATCATAGGTATACCTCAACTATGAGAGACAAAATGAGAAAAAAAATCCAGAAAATCACATTGTCTGATTTTTAAAGAATTTATTTGCAAATCATGGTGGAAAATAAGTATTTGGTCAATATCAAAAGTTGAGAACTTTCACAATTGGTGGCTGACTAAATACTTTTTTGCCCCACTGTAAATCTATTTTTATCATTCCAATGAAAAGAAAGTCTAAGAGAAGATGGACTGTACTTCCTTCTTCGAACTTTTGATATTGACCAAATACTTATTTTCCACCATGATTTGCAAATAAATTCTTTAAAAATCAGCACATGTGATTTTCTGGATTTTTTTCCCCATTTTGTCTCTCATAGTTGAGGTATAGAACTTTTGATATTGACCAAATACTTATTTTCCACCATGATTTGCAAATAAATTCTTTAAAAATCAGCACATGTGATTTTCTGGATTTTTTTCCCCATTTTGTCTCTCATAGTTGAGGTATAGAACTTTTGATATTGACCAAATACTTATTTTCCACCATGATTTGCAAATAAATTCTTTAAAAATCAGCACATGTGATTTTCTGGATTTTTTTCCCCATTTTGTCTCTCATAGTTGAGGTATAGAACTTTTGATATTGACCAAATACTTATTTTCCACCATGATTTGCAAATAAATTCTTTAAAAATCAGCACATGTGATTTTCTGGATTTTTTTCCCCATTTTGTCTCTCATAGTTGAGGTATAGAACTTTTGATATTGACCAAATACTTATTTTCCACCATGATTTGCAAATAAATTCTTTAAAAATCAGCACATGTGATTTTCTGGATTTTTTTCCCCATTTTGTCTCTCATAGTTGAGGTATAGAACTTTTGATATTGACCAAATACTTATTTTCCACCATGATTTGCAAATAAATTCTTTAAAAATCAGCACATGTGATTTTCTGGATTTTTTTCCCCATTTTGTCTCTCATAGTTGAGGTATAGAACTTTTGATATTGACCAAATACTTATTTTCCACCATGATTTGCAAATAAATTCTTTAAAAATCAGCACATGTGATTTTCTGGATTTTTTTCCCCATTTTGTCTCTCATAGTTGAGGTATACCTATGATGAAAATTACAGGCCTCTCTCATCTTTTTAAGTGGGAGAACTTGCACAATTGGTGGCTGACTAAATACTTTTTTGCCCCACTGTATGTCAGGATTCAGGAAGGATATAGGCCCATAAATTCTTGCTCTAAAATCTAATATATTTTTTTAAATATTGAAGGAATTGTTTTAAATACAGTATGGTATTCAGACATGCATCATTTTCAGAATGACTTTATATGCTTATTCTTCACAAATCATTAATCATTAATTACCTCTGCCCAATTCATTGTTCTGAATACCAGAATAAAGATTAAACTACTTTATATTTTATCTACCTATATCAATGGCACAAATCTTTTGACTGTTAATACAACATGGTATTCATTTCGTACAGAAACCCCTTTGCTAAAAACTGAAGTGGGCATGCTTTTTTGCACAAAGGTCTTTGTTTTGATGAAGGGTGTCCATCCTTTATTATAAAAGATAAAATAAATAGATGCTCTTAATTCTTAATCATAGGCATGAGCGCTTTAATAAAAACCTCTCTTTTCTTCGCTTTCCCAAAGTTTTTCCGGAAAAAAGTGCTGATTTTCTGCCCATAGCTTTAATTCTGAACATGTCTGTAGATGACTTCTCCTCCTTGTGTAAACCAGCAGTGACTTTGTCCTTGGTTCTGCTCTATTATGAAGTAATAAACAACTCTGCTGCTTTGACTGGGATGTGAGCCAGCAGGCAACTTTGCCCAGGAATGAAGAAGCAATTACTGCAAGCCATCACAAGATGGCAGCATAAAAGTAAAATCCTTTTCATTTAATAAATGGAATAAAGGATGGTTCCATTTAGGATTAATTACATTTCTTCACATGGGTGAATTTCATGCTTGTCCAGAGCAGTCAGGGAAACCTCCTCTTCCTCTTTTGATTAGTTATTTGCTAAATGTTTAAACATTTAACTGCTGTGGGAGGTTAAGGTGACTTTTGTTTAAAGAAAACAAGTGTAAACATTGAGTACTCTGCACATGGACTTCCAAAAGAGCCTTTGAGGCTGCAGTCTATCCATACTTTAGAAGTAAGTCTCACTGACTAGCCTATAGGTGTAGGATTACACCATAGACTTCTTGTTCTCAGTCTTCTGTCATTATCTGGTAGAGAGAATTATTCCCATAAATAAAAAAGATGGCAATTCATTTCTTGTTCCTGAAGTTTGTGAACTACAGATCAGTACATCACTCACCATTGGTCATGTGGCTGGTATTGCTGGGAGTTGTATTTCAGGTTCTCCACCGCTGTGATTGATATACTGTAGGTGGCTTATTCCGTAATAGCCTTATTGGTAAGAAAAAAAGAAAAGGAAAACCCAAATAGAATAAGAGGTGTACTTAGAGCAACAATTACATGGACCAACAGCTGTATTCTTGCTTCCTGTGTGGGAACCTCATGCTTGGGCCAGGGAAACCTTAGAGATCTGTTTCTTGAATAGGATGTGAGAGACACCAGTGTGGTACAGTCATCAAAGTTTTCATTCTGATACCTTCCCCAAGTATCTGGTTAATATTACCGGTCCTCCACTGAGGAAGTTTTCCACTTATAACTTATGCCTTCTGCATTTCTCAAAGGGAGACTTTCAAATGCCCAAGGGAACAGTATGTCCCTCCCTCTGGTGCTGGCCAGGTAGAGGACATCATTCAATATGTCTTCTTTTGCCTAGCTATGATGAGATTAGGGGGAAAACATTGATGATAGGTAAATTTAAGGGGATAAATTCAGAATGATGGAATTATCTTTTGGCAGATGTGATTCTGCTTGTTAGCAGTCAGGTTGCTACTTTTGCTATGCTCTCTTTGAAATGCAGAAATGCATTTTTATGTTCTAAATTGTAGCTTTGGTTTCTTGTTATACATGTTGCATTTCTTTTTATTACTTTAATTTTAACTTCCTTTTTATGTCATCTGTGGTCACAACAATAAACTTAGTACTTAGTAACAGTTACATTAAAAAACAAACAAACCAAGATTTATGACCTTTAGTTACCTGGAATGTGTTCCTTTTGATTCCTTCCCCGATATGGCAATTCTATATAATTATCTTCATATAATTCCCATACTTGAATAAATAATTTACTTATTCAGGCCAATCTGTCACATTGCAACCAACAATAATTAAATCTGTTTCCTTGCTTGTTTGTGAAGTTAAAGGACTATATTTTAATATCACCATAAGTAAGTGGATATATTTATTATGAGCTGTGATATGACATTAATATAGCAAATGAACAAATAGCTACTGATGCCAAGGGTATTTTTATGTATTTATTTTTAAATTTTCTAGGTTGTATTTTTGAGGAAACCTGTATAAAACCTGCATACTCAATAATAATTTTTTAAAAATCAATATTTTTTATAACACCACCCATTCTGTAAAAGCGTAACAGTAAAGTTACTCCTGGTGATTACATTCCTTTTCAAGGTCTTCTCCCCCCCCCCCCCCCCGGGTCCCCTTCATGCATACGAGACTCCAACGTGTCGAGATCTACCGTGTTCTCATGCAATTGTATCACTTAATCAGA